ACTACCAGGGTTTGCCAGTCCGAGTTCACTAGCAATTTGTTATCTGAACAGAAATTTTGTTTTTATATTATAAGATGAGTTACTCTTTAAATTCTTAACATAACAGATAATCCGATACTCAAAGGTTTTAGAACAGTGAATATTTCTTCTTTCACATTTTCTATGAATTGGGAACCTAGTCACAGAGAAGAACACGCAGAAATTATGGTGCCCGAGGGCCACATCATCTACAGACTACACCAGGGCTGGTTATAAAGGCCCTTGGAATTCTTAGGTTGCTAAAGCTTGCTAAGCAACTCCCTCATCTAACAAGCCGGATGAAGAGTTAACTTAGCAGTGTACACATGGTTCAGCATCTAATGTCAGTTCCTTTCCACTTTACTGAAGTTCTAGAGAATCAGAGAAGAGTTTGGGTCCAGAAAGGGGGTTGGAGGGCAATGATAGGTAAAAAACCAAAGATGGAGGAAACAAAGTATCTCCCAATCTAAGAGACAGCCAAATTCCTCCCAGTTTTGCCCCTTCTGCTTTATCCATGTGGGATCACATCAACCTTGGTGTCTGGTGTAATATTTCAGGCACACATAGGTCTCATATTTCATCTGCTTAGTATCATTTCTGGTACCTAGGCCTCACATGGAATCTGTTTCTTCCTGGCTCACTATGAACTAACACAGAAGGGAGGGAGAGGTGACAAAATTCCGTCCAATCTAGTGTTGCGTTTTATCTTCAGTGTTCAAGGCCATCTTCCCAAGGGTTACGAACTTATCCAGGTAATTGAATAATTAACAGGAAAGCCCTATGATACGTGATGGGCTAAGTCAGACAATCAATTTGGAGAATTTTGAAAACGTGTTTTGCCTTAAGTCCTTCAATATACGATTACAGCTAAGAGATTTGTCAATACGTTGGTATCCTTCCTTCTCTAAATCTTTAAGAATACGCCTTTTCCTCCTGAATTGACCCAGATGATCTCGTCTTGCCTGCTACACTCTACTCAGGAACGTGAAATGTGTTATCTATTTTCAGCTCCCCTAGAAAAGCTGCTTTGGGGCATAATCTCTTTCTCAGCCCTTCCCAGGCGAGCAGGGTGACGTACAATGTATTTTCTACTTCTAATTTTTACAACTTTTTTCTGAAAACAGCAGGTAAACAATTTAATACCAGGCCATTTTCATTATGTGTCTACTGAAGAATGCATCCATGCATTAAAATAAACAGCAATAATACAAAAAGTTTTCTCATGCAGCAATAACAACCTTCCTGAATCACAGTGATTGTGTCACACAGCAGTCTAGTACAAAATGTAGTTTTTATATCAGAAGACACAGAATTTATTATTTTCCTCCTCCCTGGCATTTTAGAGCAATTGGAAGAACAATTCAATACATTAGCTCCCAAATTAAAAAAAAATATTCATTTCAGCCCTGAAATGTCTCATTTAAAGCCCAACTGTAACAAAATATTGTCTACCCTATTCTGGTAATTATAACAAGTCTGTTGTGCACTAATTTCCACAGCGTATTGTTTGCTTCCATAATTGGGGTTATCAAGCTGGATTCAGAAGCTGCAGTACACCTAAGTCTTTAATTAATGAAACAAGCACGTGGTGCTGTAGCTGGCAGTACCAGAGCCGGATCTGCACTCTCCTGGCAAACAAGGGGCAAAAGAAATCATTGAGAAAGACTGTCACCTGGAACTCTCTCCAGTCACGGTTTTCTATTCGTGGGGGCTAGGAGGCCCCAGGATAAAGTTGCTTCCCCCAGAGTAGGCACGTTAATTCACTTGTGAACAACTTCTGGCTCACTCAGTAAGTGAGGCAGTTAAAAACCGACGTCATTTCGTCACCCCTTCATCCAAGGGAGAGCTGTCCCAGTTACCGACTTTTAGACAGAAGACAGAAAATGTACTATTTGATGAATTGATTCATTAATCATAGACTAGACCGTCAGAGGAAAATGTTTTTTTTCTTAGCATTTACACAATTTTAAAGAGTCTTAAAGACACTAAACACCCCATATTCTTCCAGCATGCTCAACTTAGGTGTTTTGTGTGATCTGCTGATGAGTACCAACACGGAGGCTTCCACTGGTCTGTGAGGTGGTTTGAATATAACCTGTCTTCCAAGGGGCTCACTGAGAGACATGGATCCACTCACGACTTCGTAGCTGAACGTGCTGTTAGGAAATGCAGACTACATGGAGGAAGCAGGTCACTGGAGTCCTGTCTCGCTCTGGCTCTTCCTGTCACTGTCCTTCTTCCAGCTCACTCTGAGACGAGGAGCCTCCTGGACCATGCACTCCAAACATCGTAATACCCTGTCTCACCTCAGACCCAAAGCAATGGATCCTGAGGACCGTGGACGAAGACTCAGAAACCATGAGCCAGAATTAACACTGTCTCCTTTTAAACAGTGTCTCTTGGGTATTTATCACAAAGATGAAAATTTGACTAACAGAGTTGACGTTCCCTGAAGCACTGTAGCACGTTTATTTTGTTTTTTAACTTCATACAACAGAGGGGCAGAGCTTTATACCTCACACTGCAGCTCAGAGGCCAGATACCTGCCCCAAAGCACCAAAGACTGTGGGCTACCCCAGAGCCATGGTCTTAAGTCCTATCCCTGCCACCACACACACAAACACACACACACACACACACACACACACAGAGAGAGAGAGAGAGAGAGAGAGAGAGAGATTCAAGTCTATTCTCAAAACTAAAGAAAAAAATCCTTCAATGTTCTGTTTTATAAAACTCTTTCACAAATACCTAATTTATAATACAAAATAAGAGTGTAGTGGGTATTTTCCAATGACTTAATTTGGGGAAAACTTCTCTTGCTTTTTATCCCTCCTTGTGATAGTTTGCTGGTGAAATGCATATTGCTGAACACAGTTTCTGCTCTATCAGCAGTGAACCACGGCCTGGAGAATGCTAGAAGCCAGAGAAATGCCAGAACATGGTGCGATTCAGTGTCTGTTCCTGCTACATAATTAGGAGATAAGTATGAGAAAATTCAGAATTCTTTAATGCACTTAAAATCGCTGTCATGAAGCAATGGCTGGCGGATTTGCATGTGAAAGGCCGTGAACAGCGTGTAGGAAGAATTGTGAAATTACTATAGTATTTATTATTATAACTTGGTGTCATGCTAGTCTCATTTTAGAATGAACCATAAGAATAGATTAAATTAGTGCCATTTTCTTTCCTTGTTAACATCTTTGTCACAAGAGCAAGCTGTCAGAATTTTAGTATCTAAAATAGTCCACAGATTATTCCCTCATGATAGCTGGCCATTTCTAAGCCCTGGACTTTGATTGGTTGCTCTCAGCCCTGTCCTTGCAGATATGGGCTGAATGCAGGGAAATAATAATCTTTTAAGCGACTAATCAGGTCTCAGAGTCTCTGGTAAAGGCAGGAAGGAAAGCATAGAGCTACAGTCTTCAAACGGCATTTGATAGAAAACATTACAGCTTAAGAAAATACTCTGGACCGCAGCTGAAAAATATATTTGACATAATGACTCTAGAATCTCTTTTTCTTTAAGTGTCTAAGACAATTAACAGTGAACATTTCCAGCCCCAGAGTCTTAACAAACTTGAGACAAGTACTGATTTTATAGCTATGATTCTTTACCTTTCCCAGATTTTATTTATTCCCCCACTGGTCTGTTTCTACATCTAACATGAATGTTTCCTGGCCACCATGATTTTCCCTCTCACGGTTCTCATAGTCTTGGTTTCTTCCAAATTGTCACATGTTGTATTTGTTATCTCAGCACAGTTATGAGCATCATTCTTTAACTCTTAAAAGTGTCCTAGTTTGGACAATGTGTAGTATGATAATGTGCTGCACACATGTTGCTCCTCAGAGCCTCTGCGAGACGCTCACTTCTCGTGTGATCCCTTGTAGCTTCTGCTCCTGACGTGACGTCTTCACTGACTGGGACCTTAGCCCAGAATTTAATCTCACTCATCTCTCTGGTAGTCACAGGAGCTTGAACAGAGAAGCTGTCTGTAGGTGGACTTTTCTTTCCCACCCTCCAGTTCCCAAATAACCCACACAGAGACTTGTTTCTAGCCAGCTTTTCTTAATTTTTAATTATCCAGTCTATCTTTTGCCTCTAGGCTTTTTCTTTCTTTATTCTATATACCATTGCTTCCTTCTTACTCTGTGTCTTTCTGTATAGTTGGGTGGTTGGCCCCTGACATCCTCCTCTCCTCCTTTGTTTGCTCCTTGATCTTCTTCCTTTTCTTGCTCCTCTGTTTTCTTGTTCTTACCTTCTATTTGTTCTCCTTCCCTGGAAGCCCTGCCTACTTCTCTCTCCTGCCTACTTATCAGCCATTCAGATCTTTATTAGACCAACCAGGTGTTTTAGGTAGGCAAAGTAACACAGCTTCACAGAGTTAAACAAACGCAGCACAAAAGAATACAACACATCTTTGCATATTAAACAAACATTCCACAGCATAAACAAATGTAACACATCTTGAGATAATATTACACAACAGGTATCTGACAAATATTTCTCAAATTAAGGAAAGATACAGAGCTAAATCATGCCACTCCACACACTATAATCATTACCCCCTTGTTTTCTTTACTGCCTTGAACCCAGGTGTCTTCCTTAGTGTTTCCATTGCTGTGAAGAAACACCTTTGTCAGGAGCCATTTTCCCAAAAATTATAGCAGGGACTATTGTCCTAAGGATGTTTGCGGGGAGCCCCACACCCAACTACCTTGAGAACTATCTGTTAGCGGAACCCGCCCCACATTCCAACTATCTGGAGAATTGTTTGTGGTTGGAATCACAAAAGGAATGATTCTGCTTGCACAGAGAACACTGGGTGTGTCGACTTGTGACCGTTGCTGCCCCGGCAAGGTTCCTTCTTGCCCTTGCCATGCCCCTGCCCCCATCCCAAGCCAAATTCCTCATTCAAGGGCTATATAAGCCACAACCATTTTGCTAATAAAGTGAGACCTTGACAACAGAATCTTACTTGGTCTCCTTCCTGTCTTCCACCCATGTTCTTTCAGACAGCACCTCTTCAGACCCTGGAACAACTGGACCCGCTAGGCAGATTACACACCTTGACCATGGCGACTCTAATAAAAGAAAATATTTCATTGGTATTTGCTTATACTTTCAGAGGTTTAGTTCATTATCATCATGGTAAGGAGCATAGCAGCAGGCAGACATGGTGCCGGAAAAGTAGCTAAGGGATACGTCCTGATAAGCAGGCAATAAGAACAGAGAGAAATACTGGGCTTAGCCTTAAGGCCCACCCCCAGTGACACACTTCCTCCAACAAGACCACATCTCCTTATAATAATCCTTATAAATAGTACCATTCCTAGTGACTAGCATTTGAATATATGAGTCTACGGGGACCAATCTCGTTCAAACCATCACACCGGGGCTTTTGCATATGGCAGGCAAAGGCCTCTCCCACTGAGCTATATCCAGGCTCTCTTTTTGGTCTCTCTTGGTCACATAGCTTCTAATCTGCTTCCCAAGCTTGGAGTTAGCAATGAAAGCAAGAGGGCTGAGCTTGCTGCTAGGGCTCTTTGGCATCTGGCCCTAACCACCATGGGCTTCACAAGGGCCTTAATGGCCTCTGCACATGTGCTCATTGCCTTCGCATTGTTTGCCTTGCTTCTTCTTCAGGTCTATCTTGTACTTCTTGGCAAAGCACATGTCCCTCGGGAACTCGAGGTTGAACCCCTAAGAGATTTGTATCTTTGTGACCCGGGATTCTTGGTGCTGTTTCTGTGCCATTGTTAGGACTGGTTGTGTGTGGTGTGGGTCTTGGACTTGGCCTTGGCTGGATAGTGACCTTGAGGCTTTGGCCAAATGGCTGGATGGTGACCTTGAGGCTTTGGCCAAATGGCTGGATGGTGACCTTGAGGCTTTGGCCAAATGGCTGGATGGTGACCTTGAGGCTTTGGCCAAATGGCTGGATGGTGACCTTGAGGCTTTGGCCAAATGGCTGGATGGTGACCTTGAGGCTTTGGCCAAATGGCTGGATGGTGATCTTGAGGCTCCTGAAGCACCTGGAACCGAGGAGCAACATCTATGATCTTCCCCTGCTGTAAATCCTACAAACCAAATGCAGCCTGCTGAGCAATATGTGCCATCTTGTGGAGCAGTGGCACAAGTGTGGTGGGGATGAGGATCCAAGACCCACTTCTCAGGAAGGAAGACATGCCTAGTAAAAGTATAAGCTTGGTTAACAGCCCGAGCCTGTGGAGGTTATCCCGTGCCTGCCAAGGTTATCAGAAGCGAGGAACTTACGACTATTGTTTAATGAAATTGTCCTAGCATCAAACCATTGCCTTTCAAATATTTGTTTACGCCCGTAGACAAAATCTACTCTGTCTTAGTCGGAGAAACCTCTATCTGCAGTGAACAACGGTGAATGTAGTCTCATGACTAGACGAGACGCTGAGAATGAAGGAAGACATTTACACCACCCTCTCTAAGCCTCCAGGAGCAGAGGAAAAGGGGACAGGAAGTTTGTAGGAGCCATTAGATAGGGTGAAGGACTGCAGAACACATTTTCTGTATTCAACACAGTATGATCGTTAACTCATCACTGTGGTTACGTGCATCACGCTGGCACAAAACCTGTGCTGTTAGCAATCAGTCACAGGAGATGGGTTTAAGAGGGTCTCATTCTTTATTGGTTATCTATAGATTCTGGGAGAAGTGGGATCGTTGTCTTCCATTGTGTATCACCGATGAGCCTTAGCAGGCTCTGATGGATAGCTTTAAACTCAGTGACACAGACAGTCCTGACTAAACTCAGTGGGTTGCAATAAATAAATAAATAAATAAAACAAATAGACATAAATGTGAGAAAGAGATTGAGGGGGAGGGCAAAAGGTTGAAGGCAGAGGATTAGGCATGAGAGTTGGCAGTATGCAGTGTGTAGATGTGTGAAACTGTCAAAGAACTTTTTTAGGTTTGGAAATGAAAATATAATTGCATCATTTCCTTCCTTTCCTTTCCTCCCTCCAGACTCTCCCATGTAACTCACCTGCTCTCTCTATTCATAGCCTCTTTTATTTGTTGACATATGTATTATCAACATATATATCAATCAAATATCAAGTATCAAAATCAGGACTACATTAGCTGGGCTCAACTATATGCAGAATGGCTTTAAGGCACACAAACAATCTCATTGAACTTGAACCGCATCCATGTTTAAATCGGTTTTGCTAGTGATATCCCAGAAGTGCCCAAGGCCACCTGACTGTTCCCTATCTGAGGGCAAGTGTGGTGAAAGGGAAGTCAAGTGGAGAGCAAGCACAGAGTAAATGGTCAAGTTTTAAAAGGTGTGTGCTATTGTCAGCAGAAATCTAGGGTACTACATGAGTGAGGAAACATGAAGTTAGTTTCCCTTTGTGGCCTTCATCCTTTTCTGCAAGTAGAAAAGGTGAAGTAGAAAAATAAACCAGAAGCGAGAAGTTTCTACAGGGACTAAAAAACCAGCCTTGAACTGTTCAAAGGGTGTCATACAAAATGTGGAGTTACATGACTTGCAAGATGCTGAATGTTTAATATGTGCTCCAAACTCTAAGCAAGACTCATTTCATTTTTGTCCTAGGGTGATACTGCGCCAAAGCCACATCTTTGTGGGAGGTAGAAAATCAGGCACGGGGATGTAAAAGCAGACATAGGCTGCTTTCCTAACATCTGTGTAGCACTGACACCCTAGGAAGAAAAGGAATGGGTAGAGAGGGGAAGGAAGCATGGGAGGTGAAAGGAAGCAAGAATAGAGAAGGGAAGGGAAGGGAAGGGAAGGGAAGGGAAGGGAAGGGAAGGGAAGGGAAGGGAGGGGAGGGGAGGGAGAAGGAAGAAGAAGGAAAGGGAAGGGGAGGGGAGGGAAAGGGAAGGGAGAGGGGAGGAAGGGGAAGGGAGGGGAGGGGAGGGAGAAGGAAGGGAAGAGAAGGGAAGGGAAGGGGAGGGGAGGGGAGGGGAGAAGAGGGGAGGGAGAAGGGAAGGGAAGGGGAATGAAGGGAGGGAAGGGGAGGGGAGGGAAGGGAGAAGGACGGAAGGGGAGGGGAAGGAGAAGGGAGGGGAAGGGAGGGGGGAGGGAGAAGGGAGGGGAAGGGGAGGGGAGGGGAAGGGAAGGGAAGGGAAGGGAAGGGAAGAGAAGAGAAGAGAAGAGAAGGAGGAAGAAATAATCCAGCCATCCATTTCATTATACCATTGCATTTACAATCTTGAATAAGTAGACACAAGGTAGAAAGTCAGGCTCTACAATTTATAACAGCATTGCTTGCTCAGCAGTGGTGGTGCATGCCTTTAATCCCAACACTCCAGAGGCAGAGGCCAGTGGATTTCTGTGAGTTCAAGGCCAGCCTGGTCTACAAGAGTTAGTTCCAGGACAAGCTCCAAAGCTACAAGGAGAAACCCTGTCTTGAAAAAAAAAAATAACAGCATTGCTCAGAAGTTCACTTCTCACCTCTATTTAGGTCCTTGACCCCCTTCCCCGTGTGTGTGTGTGTGTGTGTGTGTGTGTGTGTGTGTGTTGTATCATGAAAATAAATGTTAAGTTAAATGGGAACAAGAAGAGGAAGGAATTACAGGCATTTGGGACAAGAAGTCCTAAAGTGAGAGTTGGGATGACCCGGAAGATGCTTGCAGCCTTCATAGAATGCAGCATAGGCTGGAATCCCAACTTGGTTCCTTGCTAACACTATGTTTGAGCACATAGATTATCCTGTGTCCTCAGTGTCCTAGTTGGCATCATACAGAGGAAGGAAGGTCATGATGACTACACCTTGCTACACATAGTCTCCAAAGTCCACCTTGGCTGTGCAGCACTGTGAAGGGCAAACCCTGGGTTCATGCTATCTGTCTGGCAGAGTGCCTTGGTTAAATCCTCAATAACTCTGAAAAGAAAACCTGCCAGATTTTAAAGGCAATTTCATCAGGTGCCAGAAAACATTGCCATTTCTGAAATGAACCTTTAAATAACGATCACTGTGATTACCATACACACTGGATGCCTGCTCCTAAGTCACGAAACAGGTCAGGATATCCAAGTACTCTACACAGGAAGGTTCAGCACTGAATCCAAGTGGACAATCTTATCCTCTCTTGGGACTGTTTTCCATATAACAAGGTATTATTAGGTTCATCTCAAGGTGTCATTCATGAGGCCCCACAAAGCCAAACCATTAATCAGAATTAATCATGGAAGTCTAAGAAACACATGCAGCCTGCCTGGGTGAAGGCGCCTGTCATATAATCAGAACACATTAAAACCATGAACACTGTAATTTTTTGTAAAGGCTCAGGGCGGGAGTGTGGAGAAATAAGCATGTTTTAAAGATCATAGGCAATGTGTCCTTCAAATGAGTCTAACTTAATGTCTCTTACAAGGTCAGATCAAGGGTGAAGAAGTAAGAATTGGCCAAACACAAGAGCAATTTCCAGTTAACTAAAGAGCCCGGTACACTTTTCTTCGCTGACAACAGAAACCCCCCCGAGACGAGAAAGGTTGATCACTGATGCCAAAAAGGTACTTTCCGTTCTTCAGGCTTGCCAAGTCCCTCCTTTCATCCATTTTTTTTTATTTCCCTTCATATCGCCAGTCTCCATTTTTGTCAATGACCTTTCCTCCATCTGCCTCAGCCTCCGCCTAATGGCCTGAAGAGGACTTCTCCACACGGTGGAAAGCGTTACATTTCAGATCCCCTCCTTCATTAGAGCGAAAGTGAACAGCCTCTATTTGCTGAGTGTTAATGAATGTGAAGAAAGATTTTTTTTTTGTATGTGTTTTACACATTATGTTCTTGACTCCTGGAGGTGCCACAATAAATTGCCGCGCTTCATTTACAAGGAGCCATAACAGAAGCAGAATGTGAATCTGGCGACAAATTGCTTCTCAGTCACCCTGGGTCAGGCTGTTGGGGCTAATGAGAAGAAGGGCTCTAATTTTAAACTCCTCCTCAACCCAGCCATTCCTGCATTAATGTTCACTGTTGTAAATTGTAAAGTCAAATGAAGGAGGCACTGTTGAAAATTAACCAGTATTTTTATCCCTCGAGTGCCCGATAGAGCACATTTTGGCTTCTGTAGCTGCTCAGCC